GCTGTCGTCGGTCGAACACAGCCAGTGTACCTCGGTTGGGGTTGAGCCTCCATTTCATTGTCTTGAGAGGAGAGAGTTGAGGCTCGTTTATTCTTCTTGTTGTTGCCAAGAGGGAAGCAAATGTTTCCATGCGACCGAGAGTGGTGTAACGAGGTTGTCAAGACCACTTCAGGGCCAAAGAATTGTGTTAATGTACGCCAAGACAGCCGCCCTGTACAAGAAAATATCCCCTCACAGGCTCACAGACCGAGCACGTCCCCAAATTTCCGTTCATGTCCAATTCTTGTCTTGGCAATAAAGTTGGTTAGAAGTGCTCTCGACCATAGTGGTTTTCTTGCTTGATATCTTTCCAAGAGAACTACACAGTACCTATTTTTATCCGCATGAGGGCAGCGCCGAGGAGTGGTTTCTGTGTTTGTTTTCAAATATTCAATCGGCTGCACATGCATCAGTGGTCCAAGCCACCAAGCCGGGTATCGCACCCGATCGCTGTTCCCGGCGAGTACAAAACAACGAATGTGCTCGAATACGTAACAGTTTGGAGTTGAGGTCAATGTCTTTCCAAGATCCCATCTGGTGCTTCATGGCGCCGTCGTGTCGGGGTCACGCCTGCCACCGAGAACTCTTCCTCTGCATGTTGAGATGTCGTTGTGGTTGACATCACAATGGACTGATGCAAGCCACCATCGCACCGGAGTCTCCCATTTTCCAGTGCCGGCATCCGAAATCCCAAGCAATTGGATGACTTATCAGATGTCACATCCCGGCTGTTGTCGTTGTGTCCTAAAATTGTCGGTTGGTCGTTCGCTGCATCGTTGCACCGCAAACATCGTCAGCATGGCTTCCATTTCTGTATCGCGGTTAGTGTGGTCTTGGCAACGAATGTCTGTTGGACAATTTCTCTGTTGAGGGGGCAAATTCTGTTGCTTTAGTAACTGCCGTAAAGGCATTTCAGCAGGAACATACTTTATTAAAAGCGGATTGACCGTGGAGGAGTGGTTCAGTTTATCATCACAGATTTTGTGGTTGGCGATGTTCGTTGGTCTTGGGCCTCGGGAAGATGATTTCTGTTACTTACGATACCTCGTAATCTACTCTTCCCTTTCTCGTGTCCAACCCTAACCCGTGCGTAACGCTTGCCGCTTGCCGGTTATTGTACGCTTGTTTACTTTGTTCAGGGGGGAAATCGGATTCGTATCACCATGCCACCATCCATCTTCGACCAATCCGTCTTGGTCGCGTGTGCATCGTGTCTTCTTTTCACAAGTTCCGGACTCTTTAAGCTGCGAAATGAAGCGGTAAAGCGGGGAGGACATGCAATGATGCAACGGCACAACTTGCAGGACGTCAACAGGCAACCACAACCAGCAAGGCAGAAAGTTAGGAAAGCACAACTTGGAAGTGCAGAAACTTCTCACCTTCATTTGTACGTCGTCTCCCGACTCGAGGATCTTGAGTCATTTTGTGCAGTGATTCTTGCACTGACTCCCTCTTCTGTCTTGACTCCCTCTTCTGTCTTGACTCCCTCCTCTGTCTTGACTCCCTCCTCTGTCTTGACTCCCTCTTCTCTTTCAAGTCACAACCATGTCATCAATGATAGACTTTGTCTGGGTGACTAACCGAATATGTCGGCCATATAACATTTCATCACTTGTACCTCCGATCACTTCAAAAACCAGATAATTTGATGGCCCCATCAATTATCAGCTCGTCCAAGGCCCATGGCCTTTAGTCCCTCCCAGTCGCTCTTTCCAAACAGCAGGACCGAGTCGTCTTTTGGTCAAATTTCATGGGCCCCCTACCGCATGAACCCGCCGATTTTTGCCGTCTTGCCCCCATTATCTTTCCAAGCAAAGAGATACAAGCCCCAGCTGCTACACGCAAACGATGAAGGAGCGATGATCTTGTCTGGGTTTGTTCTGGCCTCATGATCCCATCCGGATGTCCGTTCTTCATCTTTTCTTGGGGTCGGAGAATCACCTTGTAGCTCTATTTCTGTCATGCAAGTTTTACCCCCCGTCGTCCTCAGGTCTTCGGAAGGCAGCGTCGTAACCCCCCTCTTCTCGTTGCTTGCGCGAAAGTTTTCTCGCGTCCCAGCCGCTGGTCTTTTCTCTCGAATGCGACTGGCATTCGAACAAAGGTGCATCGACACCACGGCGCTCGACCTGGTTCCACACAACTTGCGATGGCAATAGCACGGTAGTTGCTCCCAAATTACCTTACTCCTCAGCCCGGCTGCTTGGTACATGCGCCAGTGACAGCGATTGCTGTGTCGGCCACCAGATCGTCGAGATATCATGCCCTGTCCTTGACTACGAGTCTACAGCAGCCCTCAATCACCAGATTCTGCCTCAAGCCTTCGTTGACACGACGCCGAGGGATGCTCTGCCACACACCCACACACCAACCGTTTCGATTGCCGGAAAGACGTGCTCTCTTTGCGCTCGTGGTTATGGGAAGGCGAGCTCCTTCGTGGCCGCTCCAGTGAGCGATCACGGTGGAAGGCTTGGATGCAAGACATGTCATTAGTCCGCGACCGCGAGGTTTGGGCCGCCGGTACAGCAAGCAATGCAGCGGACGCTGAGAGAGGGCGAATTGCTCCCTCGGGGTTATGGACAATAAATCGATGGATCCACAAGGAGAGCGTTCAGGAGGCTGGAAGTGACAATATCCCAAGATCTCCCATGATGTTGTTCGGGCTACCAAGTCATGACTGCTGCTGACTATCCGCGAAGCAGTTGGTGTTGTCACGGTGCTTCGATTGGGAGATCACGATCTGTCCATCCTGGCTTGGCCTTTTCCTGCCTTCATTCGCTCGCTTTCCTTCTATCTACACAAACCCCTCACTGTCTCCGTTATTCTCGTCGTGGATTCTACTCTTTGTCGGTCGAAGGCTTTTGCGTCGGGGCTTCGAGCCGTGGATTTGCGAATGCGCCGGGCTGCTCTCAGGCCAGTCTTGCTCGAGTCGGTGGTAGATCTTCAGAAAACTTGATTGATCGGTTCTTTGTCCCTTCCTTTGTCTTAATGGCTGTCCATCTCCAGGAGACAATGAGCGACAAGGTCAACGCGGACAATGGTCTTTGTAGAAACAAAATCACCAAGCAGCCGGCGCCGCCAATGGACATATTTAGCATCAGCATCCTTTGTTTATCTTGTCTTCTCTTAGTCTCTTCGTTCGCTGCCTTTACCCTCATCGTTCTTCCTCTTTTGTCTGTTTCTGCTTAATTATTGGCTCCGTTCTCTCTCATCGTGATTGTCTCGTTTACAGCCGTGGTCGTGTCGCGGAACTGAGTACTTATCCTCTTCTCTTTCTGCGAGCATGTATATGTCTCTCTGGACTCTGTCACGGTGTTCCCTTCTCCTTCCTATCAAGTGACAGACTCAGCGGCGCGGCCATAGTCGTCGATTTCTTGTCGTACCATATCCTGCTTCAGCTCCTGCTGCCAGGCGACTTCTACCGATAGTCTGAAGTTATCGATCAAACAGAATCCATAGGGATGTTGGCAATGAACGGACGCCGGAATCTCGAGTGAGCCTCAGGTTTTCCGGAAGCGGTGTTTTCTGCAGGGTCAAGTGGTCCATCAACGGCGACTCAAGGTTTTAGGGACAACAACGGGAAGGAGAACTGGTTCAGTGCGCGCCATCAACATCAAATCTGTTTGCGACTGAGTGACAACATTGGATTCCTTCTGGCTGTCACCCTTCTTCTGATAGCCGAGATGGGTGTCAGTCATGGCACCAGTTGGATTACGAATTTGCTGTATTTCCTTTGGCTATATCTCTTGTGCGAATAGTACATCTACGTCGGCAACAACACTGTTGCTGGGATTGGGTACACCTGGAGGTCTACCATGCTCTTCAGTGCCAGAAACGCCCTCCGACCCTAGCTACAAGTACCTGCCAGTGGTCACGAATCAGTTGTTAACGCTCCCCCAAAGCTGGGTGGTCCCCGAACAGGTGTGCGGGCTTGTCGGGTTGGTTTATATACTTCTGTCCCTCCTCACCACCTGGCAGTAGCTCCATGTACGTCACCGCTTATGCTCTCCAGCTATCCTGTTCCGGCGCGGTGGGCTTCCTGAGGTCAAGGGTCTTAGCCTCAACGCTGGCGGTACGGTTTCAAGAAACGACGACAGTTATGAATACAAACGGAAGGCACGCGAGCCTTGAACATGTAAGATAGGGTGATACACACAAGACTATCATCTAGTGGGCAAGTGTGCCTTTACCAGTGGAATCAGAGGAACAGTATGGAGGAATACAAGACAGAAGAGAAGCACATATCCCTCAACTATCAGTCGTCACCGTACTTTAGGATCTGGAAAAGAGCTTCATCCGGTCCATAAGGTAATCCGCAGGCCTGCTGAAGAGACCTTGAGCTCAACAAATTGCCTACAAGTGGTTGAGCACGTGGCCCACAGGCGAGTGTCTGCCAACTGAAATGTGCCAGAATCTCCCCTCGACTCCCTCAACCCGCCAGGAGCCAATCAAAATTCGTCCCTTTGCTCTTTGCCAGCTGCCCAGCTTGCGCTGCCTTCCTTCCGTTCTCAGGTCCGAAACACCCCCTCTCCATTCTTCTGATTTCAGCCTCCCAAATCCCCTTCGTATAGAACCCCCTCCTGCAAACTCTGCCGACCAAAATTCCTCAACCTCAACCTCGAGTTTTGCATCGACAAGCAACTCGCTCTTTTTCCGCCAGCAAATTATTGAGTCTCATCAGCAAGCTCGTGGAGAGCAACCCACAACAGGTAAGTACAGCGATCGCTTCCCTTTGCCCAGTTCCATCGACCCGTCGACTAAGTCGACATCGACAACGATCTTTTTTCCCTGCTACCCATGAAAACTTCCTCTGCGAGTCGTCAGACTTTTGCCCGTCGTCGCGGCGACGTCGCTCTCCCATAGTGGCGTTCGTACTTTAACAGCAGAGCCATGTCGCTTGCACTATCGAGTTGTTGCCCCATCGCCATCTTGCCTTTTTATCGTCGACCTTCCACGCCCTGCTTCTTAATCAGATCTTCCTTGCGACAATCAATCGCCTTGAGAACCTGATCAAAATAAGGCAGTCTATCGACTCGCTTTTTGCATGTCTTGTTCTCGAGTTGTACTCACTTGTTTGGATCCTATCACATTTTTCATATCTGTCGAGGGGTACCGCGCCGCTTCATTGGCGATCTCATCGGCATCTTCGTTCATTTCGTGAAACTCTCTTCAAGCTTGTCGCAAATGTTTCGAGCTCTGTCATCTGGGCTAGGATACTGATTCATGAATTTTGTATAGAGCTATCGATCACTGCAGACAACCCTTTCGACATGTCACAGCCTGCTGGCGGACCGGGCTTTGGCCCCATCGGCCCTTTTGACCTCACTAGATTCATGAAAAGGGACGATCTAACACCCGAAGATAAGGTAGTGCTCTGGAGGTTTTTCGACAAGATCTTCGACAATCTAGTCGACAACGACGGAAACACGCGATCTCTTGGAGCGATCAAACAAGTCGTCCAAAATCCACTGTCAAACCCGCAACTTTCGAACAACCCTCTCCTTACAGGAGTCAACCTTGCACAGGAAGTGCAGACCTGGTGTTCTTTTCTCCAGAACCTCGACATGCTCAACCAGGGAGTCGCCAAGCTTGGGCAATCCAAAACGTTTCTCACGGTTCTCGACCAATATCTCACTGTTCCTGAAAGGGAGAATCGTCAATCAAACGATACCGACGAAAGCGCTAACCGCACTCCCCTTCCGACGAGACTGGTTAAGTCCTGGAGTGACAAGCTCGCACTCCTTCACTGGGCCCGGATCCGTAACAATCAGCCCGTCAACCCCCCTCCACACGACATCCCAAAGACCTTCGAGGAGGCAAATGTGCATGCCGACAAGATCTTTGATGGCATGCACAGAGAGCCTGATGACATGGTAGAAAACCTGATCATGCAGAAAAAGGCAGAAAAGGCCAACAAAAAGACCGAAGGTGGTAGTAACAACAACGACCAACCTGATGGTGACGACAACAAGGCAGAGGGTAATCCTGACGCCAAGAAAGCCGACGACCAAGAGAAGAAGATCCACCCCCAGGCACAACGGGCCAGGGACATGTCAGATCTCTCCCTGTACGTCATGAGTTGGGAGCTCTATGTAAGTTTCTGCGCGCGCCTATGGCATGGATTGCCGTCGTGGAAGGAGTGTAGACGTATTAACCTTTCCGTAGGACGGAGCGGTGAAGCAGAAAGTTGGCAGACCGGACACTATGATCTACAGCAACGAGTCTGGCGTTAAAGCCGGAAGATACAAGACCTTTCCAGAGCTGATTCAAGGTGTAACAAACCTAGTCACGGTAGGTCAAAGCTTGAATTCCTATGTCTAGTACCGATCGACGTTTACTAATCGGCGTTGTCATTCTAGCGGTCCAAGGCGTCAATCGTGAACGTCACTCAAGTCCATCCCCTTACGCGCTTTGCGGCTCATCCAACCCAAGAGCTTTCGGTAAGATACTCTCTGGCATAAAGAAGGCATGCTACCATGATCAGGTACCTTACTAATGTTTCTCAACTTCCAGACCAAGGTGACAAACGCGGTAACGAACGCCATTCGTGATTCGGAGATTGTAGAGGGCAAGAGGGTCCTCAAAAAACAGCCCAAGAAAGAAAGGCCTGTGAAGAGAAAGGCACCGGTGACTCGTGCAACTCGCCAACGCCGTGCCCCCAATCCCTCCGCGCCCGCGACACAACAAGGCACGAGCCAAATTCAGGCGGTAGGCTCATCTATCACTGCCGATGCATAGGAGCATTCAGGTAGATTGAGCCCCCGCCCGGTTATTCAGACCACCGAGCCAGTTACCGTGCAACAGCCCCCGGTTTCCTACGAGCCTGCAGATGATGCCAACCTCGACCAAGCCGAGCTTAATGACCTCGCCCTCGAAAGACCCACGAAAAGAAGGCGCGGAGCCGCATCTTTCCCTCAAGGAGTGGGACAGGATCAAGGAGAATGGCTAGGTACGGAAGGCCAGACGGCTCAGAGTGTTGCGGGACATGGACAGCCTTCTTCCTTTGACGTCCGCGAAAATCTGCCCGGCGCGGCCGACAGTTGGGCCGCCCCTATGGACAACACCAATTCCATGTTGCTCAATAGGCCTTCGGATGATTTTCAGATGCGACATGGACGAAGCTTGCGGACCACAAGCATCCCAATGGCTGTCGGAAACAACACTGCCGAGCCATCACTCAATCCTCAGTCTCACAACTGTTCCTTTCCGGCATTCGCGCCAATACCCGACAATGGTCTTATGAGCAATGGTTCCGCGTCCGGCAACACCTCTACCGCACCTTACAACCAGCAGCCGTTCACAACATTCGGCTCAATGCCCGCTGATGCTGCTGTGCCGAGCAATGTTTCTGGATTCGACAGCAACCTAGTGCCGTCCAGAAATTGGGCTTCTGAAGCTGATAGTCCTCCGGATCAGGACTATTTTGATCTGCTTGATTATAATGTCAACGCTGCCATGTCCTCAATACCTTCAGCTGCCATCGATCCTTGTCTGCAGACAGGCATGTAATTTCCCTTCGAAACCTACCAGCCTCAGCCGCTCCACAACCTAGCGCAAGATGGGGTGTGATGGAGCGTCCTCGAACTTTCGGTGTACCTGACAGCATGGCCTTCAGTTCTCGGGCCAATCTTCTGCAGAGCAATCATATGGCCGGTACTCCCACCGTGCCCTCCGGTCAGACCCCGAGCTCCCAAAATGCCGTTCCGGCTAACCGAGTGCCATACCAAAACATCGAAGAGTTAGTCAACGATTTTCACTACAACCGTAGATGATGACGGGAACCTCAGGTATGAGTTAATGACCATCTGAACTTTGAAGTACATGAGGACAGGGGCGTATGGCAGAGAGGCGAAGGTAGAGAGGATGAAGAGCTGCCCCTGCGCAACACGACGAACGCATCCTGGCTGCTTCTGCCCAGAAGCATGCCATTGTTCGTCGGAGAAGGGGCAGCTTTACAAGTACAGCACTGCGGATTGTTGGAAGTGTTTGAGTACGAGCGGTTCGTAAAACGTATATACGAGTCCCGACGATAACTTAGCATGGAGGGATGGACGGTAAAGGGTTCCTGAGAAATGGAGGTCACAGGTGGTCATTTGGCCATGATATTGGGTTTCATATGACTCAAGCGCCTAGGTACCTTACTTTCGAGGGGTGCTTCACTAAGATGAAGCTGGGCCTGCCTCCCATGGGTCAAATAATGGGACCTCCTATCAGGAGGAGGGGCTTTGATGATGCGCACGCCTGCGCAGCTGCCCAGGTTGAGGACGAGACTATCACCTACACCGTGAAGAGATACATACCTAGGTATCCAGAGGCCAAGGATGTCTTTGAAAGCATCCGGAACTTGGGAGAGTAACTCGGTGGAATGGGGAATAGTCATGCGTTCTCCCAAGAGGTGGTCATACCTTACCTCTAGGTTACTTTTCGTTGAGAAGTGTGAGGTATGCGTCCATGGTAGTACTTTACAGAGAGAACCCATTAGAGAGAAAACACGTTACTCATAACTCTGTTGTTCCGCTTGCTTTTCGTGTGTGTCAGACTGTCAGTTGGTTGAAGTCATACTCGTGAGTACATCTTGAGTGCTGATCATAAGGCATACCTTAGAATGACTAGGAGGTATCTTCAGAATCCATCGTCTTACTGCTGCTGCTGTATCTGTTCAGTCTGTATCGCCAGTCAGTCCATGACCGCTTCCGGAGGCAACCAGTCAGCCACTGTGAGCCCAACTCTGTCTGATATGAGTTTATGAGCACTTGTGTCCTTGACCATGGCCGAATCATCCTCTGGGCTTAGCTGTTCCACTTGTATTACTCACATGCTTCGAGTGTTTACTGTTTGCCCGCCTAGGCGATCTTGTGAGGCAGTCATACCTCAGAGTCAGAGAGGGTCGGACTTCCATTCTTCCGGGTTAGTGGCATATAAGACTCTTCATTCCCACTACTGCTTCTAGATCCTCTCAATCACCAACAACTGTTCATGTCTTTCAGGATCCCTCTGGCCTTTGCTTCTTCAGCTTCATACCACACTTCTACACAAACCCATCCACAAATCAATCAACATGTCCACGCCTCCCGACAGACCGTTCTTCCACATCGGCCTGCTCATGCTCAAACAATTCATGGAGAGGGACGAGTTGACGCTCCAGGACAGGCAAAAGTGCTGGAAGATCATCGACAGCATCTATCATAACTTTAGTAGCCTGGTTCACGACCAACTGATCCGTTCCTCCTTTCGTGAGCTCGATCACCACCGGCGGTCACTGGAAGCGATTGTCGAAATGGTCCAGGATCCGTTGGACAACCCGCAACTCTCGGACGACAGGATACTTGCAGGGTTCGATTTCGCAAAGGAGGTCTACCGGTATTGCCATTTCTTTTACAAATGCAAGGTACTTCATGAGGCGACGACAATGTGGATCAAAGGGGTAGACATAGCTCCTGAAGCCCCCTCTTAGATCTCTGTCGATGTGGGCACTAAGTCGAGAAGGCATATTGTGTCATGTTCCATGCCAGCTACGTGCTCCCCTGTAGTAGTCGGTCAGTTACAATACCGCTGATACCGATTTCAACTCTTTACGATTGGGACAAAACAGCAACTTCACCTTCATGCCCTGCGGGCTCTATAGATCTTTATAATAGCTACCACGATAAACTCCGATAGTCAGACGACTCAATCGCCATCATCATCATCATCAGCATAACGACCGCGAGATCATCACCAGACCATAACACCTGCGGCGCTCAAGCAAGCATGGAGGATGGCACCACGCCATAGAAGCGTCAATATTCCCAAGACATTTCAGCAATGGGGGCAGCTCGTGCAGCAAATCTTCGACGAGACTCGGAGCGAGCCAGAAGACATGGTTGAAGCAATGGTGATGGCCAAAAAAAGGAGAGAAGAAGCAAGGCACCGGCAACGAGCACAGGGTCGTACCCACGAAACCCGATACATCCATCACACGACATGGACGTTGCTCCCTATTGACAACACCAATTCACAATCACCTGCACACTCGGTCCCCTTACCTACGGGGCTTCTACTCGATTATGGGCCTCCGAGCCCAATTCCACCGGTTGAACGATCCCTAGATATATGACTAGAACTGCAAAGCGACCAGAACCCAAGATACGAAGGGAACCAACACAAAACAGCTACAAATACGACATCTCGTTACAAGAAAGTTGTTAAAGCCGCAAGCCAGCCCACCGTACCATCAGTGGTGCATTAGCATAGCATAGGAGCACCAGACCCTGGTGATGGATGAAACCCCACCAAGCGCGACCAAGCCATCACCAAAATGGATGTCAGCAACTCCAGCTGTCCAGCAATGCGCGAACGAGTTAGGACATCCTCAAGTTAGCAGCACTGATCCTGCTGGCTCGTCTTCGTGGCCGTCGCCATACGCGCTACCTAGGAAAGGAGGAAGTTCACCTGCAAGTGCAGCGGGCTAGACATATGTCTAAGCTCAGCAAGCTTGCACCAAGCTGGGATATAGCCGTGATGTCCAACATGAATTAGAAAGCTACCGTACTCCGTACATGTGAGCTGGTTCGAAGCTGACCTTACACTATTTAGATCCACATTGATAACGAGCATGTGGGCACCCCATTCACGGCCGCTTACTCCCATGAGACCTAACCTGAAGGGACTGGAGGTCGACGTATCTGGTTACAGGACGATCGATCGGCGCCGTGTCCACGATGCCCCCTACCTACCACTACTAGGGAGAAACGTTTCGGCAACGGCCAAAGTCCATATGTTTGACATTTGCAACTGGAGGGTAGAGGTACCTACTTACCAGATTTCCCGCTCCGTACCGAGAGGTAGCTGCCGAGTTTGCCCATTTTATGTCTGTCTGCCAACGCGGGTGCTGGTGTCTTTGTAACCCATTGTGTAGGTAGCTGGGAGGGACTGGGGACGGAAAGCATTTTGTCGACATTGCCGAAACGGACTGCTGACAGGAGCATTACGAGCCAGCCTAGCTGTATATCTCTATACCTCTATACGTTCAAGTCGCTCAAACGACGTCCATGGGGATGCTCAGTCACCCCTCTGTAGTCTGTATGTACCGTCGAGGAGGAGACTGATGCGTTTGCTGTTGGCTTTTTGGGACTTTGGGAGAAGTGAATACCTACCTTGGGCACCTAAGGTAAAGTGGGAATGTGAAGACGGGTGTCCCAACTTTTGTGGGTTGGGACAGCAAGCAAAAACTGCAATGAAGCGTATCTACCTACCTTAGGTATTGGGGCGTTGCGTGGAATAGAACTGGAATCCACACTGGGAAGTAAACACGTATGTAGGTACGCGTTGGGTGGTTACCTAGGTAGATAGCGAGGTTAAGGTACCCTCTAGCTGTACCTATGTGAGCTCTTGACGAGCATAAGTACCTAGAGGTGGGAAAGAAAATGACATGGACAGGAAACTTTGGATAAAGAATAGAATAGAATAGAACACACGGCCACCTACTACGGTACCCCTTTCCTTTCCCCAACATAGGTGCCATTTAGAAGCCATGTCCGATTGATGCTCTTCCGGGTTTGTTGACCCAGCATGTTATACCCCACAAAAACAACACCATCGCGGCTCACGAGTATGACGACGAGTAAGGGGTTACCAAGCAACCCAACTAGTGAAAGCGCTATAAATTGTGATAGGACTAATCCAGCATAATGTCCAGCTGCTAGCAATGGAATGGAATCCATACCATGATGTCCCTCGGCGGGAATTGACACCATGTCCCCTCCCTCCTCGAGCATACTATACTGACTGATCAAGTGATTTTACTTTTTGTACAGCAACCAAACAAACATACACACACCCCTTCCAACCCTCCTCTCTCATCCGCCCTATTTCTCCTAGTCAACAACAGCCAATCTAAGAACCATGACCCATAAAATCCCTCAACTGCAACTCCGTAATGCCCTCCTTCACACCTCCCACAACCCCAGCAACCTTGAGAATGCTCTCCTCAAAGTCCCTCAACACGCCCGCCAGCTCCACGACCCTGTGATCAACCTGGCCATCTCCATTCATCGCACTGTCCTGACCACCACCTTGAGCCAGCTGCTTCTGCTGCCCAAAAGCAGCCCTCTGCAACTGCTCCAAAACATTGCCCTGCACTCCATGCAAATGCACCTCGATCTCGCCCAGGTTGCGCTCAAACCTCTTCATCATCTCGTCCATCTCGTCTGCTGTCTTGGAAAAATAGCCGAGCAGATCCTGGTTGGACTCCGCTTCGGCTTCTTCATCTTCTTGCTGGCCCGTCTTTTGGCCGGTGCTGGACTTGGTTGCGCTCGTTTTCGGGGTCCCGCTGTTATCACCCTGCTGTTGTCCCGCACCAGACCGCGAAGCACCACCAGCCGCAGAAGAAGACCAAAGACCAGCCTGCCAATACCCCCCGGCAGCCGCAGCTGGTCGATGCTCTTGAAACTGAGCTTGGCGTTCGCAGCGTCCTTCTTGACGGTTTCTTTGAGAGAGGCGATGGCTAGGACGTCACTGTTTAGAGCGCCGGCTGCGCCTTCGGACTTGCGAGAGACGAAGGAGACGTCTACGGGAATCGAAGAGAGCTGCGATTCGTGGCCGGGAAGAAAGGCGTTGATGGCGGAGCAGTCCGAGATGCACTTTTGGATGGAGTCGTCGATTTGGGTTAGTTGCGCTTGGAGAGAGTCGGTGAGGTCGGAGAAGCGCGTGGTGGAGCGCAGGGCGGCGAGGTCAATTTTGGAGCCGGCGGATTGTTGCTGTTGAGTGGTGGTGTTTTGGCCCATGGACAGGCTGAGGCCTGTGGAAGTAGGCTGCTGTTGGGTGCTGGTGGTGGATGGTTGGGTCGTGCCGCTGGGAAAGGAGAAGATGTTAGTATTATGTTTGGGGTCCATGAATTTGGGTTGGGGAATGGCGCAGCAAATGAATGGGGAGACGTACAAGCTGGTGCCGCCGAGTGTAGTCGTCGCGGGCTTGGTGGTGCCAAAGAGAAAGGCGCCGCCTGTGCCGCCGAACAGAGATGCGGTCTGCTGCTGTTGCGCCGGCTGCTGTTGCGCCGGCTGCTGCTGTTGCTGCTGTTGCTGCTGTTGCTGAGGCTGGCCGAACAGACTAGTGGTGCCGGTGTTTTGTTGCTGAGCTGGCTGGGCGGTGCCAAAGAGCGATGTGCCAGTCGTCTGCTGCTGAGCTGGTTGAGCAGCGCCGCCTCCGAACAAGCTAGTGCCGGTGTTCTGCGCCGGTTGTTGCTGTGTGGTTGCGCCGCCGCCGAAAAGGCCGCCACCGCCCGTCGCGGCGGGGGTCGTGGTGGTTCCTCCTCCGAAAAGAGACATCTGCTGTTGCTGTTGTGCTTGTTGTTGCTGTTGTTGCGCCGGTTGACCAAAGATTCCCCCACTCGGCTGTTGCTGTTGAGGCTGTCCGAATGTGCCACCCGTCTGTTGTTGTTGCGCCTGTTGCTGTGGTTGTCCGAATATTCCTCCGCCGCCGAATGCCTGTTGCTGTTGTGGTTGTTGTTGCGCGGGCTGGCCAAAGAGGTTTGGGGTTTGTTGTTGTTGTTGTTGTTGCGAAGTTGTTGTTCCTCCTCCAAACAAACCTCCACTGGCTGGAGTCGGGGCTCCAAACAAGGATCCCGTGTTTTGCGGTTGCTGCTGCTGCTGCTGTGCGGTTGCTGTGCCAAAGCCGGTGCCGGTGGACTGTGCGGGCGTGTTGCTTCCACTATTGTACGGGGGAGCTGTTAGGAAAAGTACCTTTTGGAATTGTAAACAGTAACCAGACTGAGATGGAAAATGATGACATACAATAGACTATTGGCAGTGCCCGTATTGATGCTTAGCCCAGCGGGACCACTTGCTGAACGAAACATGTTGATACCAAGAAGTGTAAATATTGGAAACTGTAATTTATGGATATGCAAGGGATACGCGACTTGTGAATTCCGTGTCGTTGTGAAAATGTGGAGATGCCTGACGCGCGGGTTGAACTTTTGAAGATTGATGCGGCTGCTTTGGCTGCTGCAAGGCACAAGACACAAGTACCGGGTAGACAATTGATTCAGTTCAGTTCCCCAAAACGCACAGACCATTTTGTGTGTTCAACTCCAATTGACGTCGCGCTTCAACTACACTGGAACACGCGCCTGACCGCCTGCCCAATTGTGCCAACTGCAAACAAGCCAAGACCATTTCGCCGCATTATCTAATCCATCAAGCCAACCTCAGCTTGTCATTACTTACCATTACAGCATTCGCGAGCACCGACCATAACTTTCCACTTACACCAGACAAACAATAAAACCACTACACCTACGGTCGCATTCAAACTTCACAATGGATATCGACGAAGACGAGGATTTCTACGCTCCCGACGAGCCTGCCCAGGCCGCTCCTGCTGCGACCACAACCCAATCCAGCACAACCCCCGCTGCCGTATCAACCAACACAACAGCCCCAGCGCCCACAGCATCATCAAAACCAGACAACGACGAGCTCGAGGAAGGCGAAGAGGAAGATGACGGGGAAGGCGGCGGCGCCATGGACGAAGACAACTCCAACGACGATGACGACGACGACGACTCGGACATTGACATCATCACGGAGCGCAAAAACGACGGATCTTCTGCCCCTCCTCCTCCCGTCCAGAGTCGCTACAGCGAGATCCGCAACATTCCGCAGAGAGCGGCGGCGAACGAGAATGGCGTCAAGACTGCGCCTGTTTCTGCGGTGAACAAGAAGGTGGATGGCAACACCAATAACAAGATTGGTGGACACGGAAGTGAGGATAGGAATAACAGGAAGGGAAGCGCTGCTGCTGCTGCCGGTAGTGGTAAAGGTGGCAGTGGTGGAGCAGAGCTGCCGCCTGTTAGGACGAGCAAGATCGAGGTGGATGGCATTCCGGTTTATAAACCTGTTGGCAAACCGATTACGGGTGTTGTTATTGATGAAGGTACGCTTCTCTTCCTTTCTTTTCCCTTCCTCCCCTATCTTCCACTCTCACATCTGACCTGCCACTAACCCCCTCACCTACCCTTAGACCTCCCCGAAAACGACAAACCCTGGCGCAAACCCGGCACCGACCTGTCCGACTACTTCAACTACGGCTTCGACGAGTTCACCTGGGCCCTGTACGCCCAAAAGCAGGAGGCCCTTCGTGGGGAGTACAACGCCGAAGCCATCGCTGCTAACAACAAGAAGATGATGGAGGAGATGACCAACATGATGATGATGGGCGGCATGATGCCTCCCGGCATGGGCGGCCCCGGTGGTCCTGGTGGTCCTGGTGTTGGCATGGGCGGCGGACCGGGTGTTCCTGGTCCTGGTGCTGGTGGCATGGGTGGCATGGGTGGAGGTCCTGGTGGTCCAGGTGGTGGTGGTATGCAAGATATGCCGCCTGATATGCAAGCCATGATGCAGCAGATGATGGGCGCGGCGGCGCAGGGCATGGATCCGGGCCAGATGGGCCAGATGGGCCAGATGGGCATGGGCGGCGGTGGTGGTCCGGGTGATATGGGTGGTATGGGAGGCATGTTTGGTGGTGGTGGTCCTGGTGGTGGTCCGGGAGGTCCAGGTGGACAAGGTGGCGGTGGCCAGGGACAGCAGTTTGGTGGTGGTGGTGGTGGGTTTGGTGGTAATCAGGGACAGGGCGGTTATGGTGGAGGTGGTTATGACCAGATGGGTGGTGCCGGTGGTGGTGGTGGTGGAAGGGGTGGTAGGGGAAGGGGAAGAAGGTGGTAGTAACGCTGGTGATCCCCTCTTTTCGCGGAAGCGCTTTTTCTTTCTGTCTGTTAATGTATGATATCGAGATACCTCTTATGTGTGGCCGAATTGCCTGGATGGCTGGCCGGTGGGATGGATGGGATAACGGTTACGAAAATGATGAGACTTCTTTACTAGTAGGCCCTCGATATTATCACGGATAGGTTAGTAGTGCTCGATCACCGCGCCTGTCAGCCAGTCTCTCAGCCTTACAAGCACAAGCACAATCACACGAAAGCACTACAGTAGTTCTTCCATTATTTCTTCCATCGTTCATCTATCACAGCGCCACGTCCCGTCTGGGTCGTTTCGAGGCATCACGGTGTCCCTGGTCCTTCTGAAGCTACATACTCTAGGTAGAATAAGCCCCTTTTCTAGTATCACTCAGCTACCTTGGAGCAGTTCTCCGATTCTAACTCCTCCTACATTCCATTTTCATGCGATATCGTCTAAGAGAACCAAAAAAAAAAAAAAAAAAAGTGTGAACCAAAAAAAAAAAAAAAAAAAACCAAAAAAAAAAAAAAAAAAAAAAAATATCAAATCCCGAACGGTGAACCCCCAGATTTCGTAACATCCGCATGTCACACACCACACGTCACACACCACACCACACCACGAGGAAACACAAGACATCCATCACCCAAGTTGGACTCTCCGAGCGTACTACGGTAGAGGTACTCGTGTGCGGTGTGTGTGCAAAGGTTTCGAATATGTACTGTACTGTACTGCTCGATTCATGTTTGAAATTGTAATAGCCATTATCAAGACCTCTGACGCAATGTTTATCAAACCCATTCATTACCCATAAGGTAGGGTAGATAGGTAGTAACCGGACACCAATGCTTCCTTTCCCTGTCTGTCCATTGACCAAGTCCAGAATCAACCAACCAGCCCATTATCAACTCTCAAACTATCCCACAACCAACACCTAGTCATCATACACTTCTTCTCAGACGCGCGAAACACGGTCTTTCCTACCTCATCACAACATCCCTCTCCTCCCCAACTAGCGGCATCACCTCCCTCAGCCACCCCCTTAACTCCTCCCTCTCCTCATCCACCGTCCTATCCGGTAAACTCTCCAAGCTCTCTCTCAGCAACTTATCATTATTATCCACCAACGCCTCTCTCAAAATCTCCTTGACAGTCTCAACCTTGTACTCGGAAGGTGGGGTGACTCGCATCAACCCGACAAAAGCCTCGAAGAAGTCGATCAGTGACAAGTGCATGAGAATGTCGTTGCGGTCGACCATGCGGAGGGCGGCGAAGTGGAGGAGGCCTTGGCCGGTCTTTGGTGGTGGTGGTAGGGGCATCTGTGCTTGTTCCTCCTCTTCAACTCCGTTCATGAGGATGTCGCCGTTTTGGTTTGGGCGGTTGGATGTGCCGTTATGCTTGGGTGTGCCGTGTCTGTTCGTTGAAGGCCCGTTCGTCGCTGCGCCAGCCGCGTAATAGCCGGGTGTAGGGGCATTGATCTCGCTCCTGACAACCTTCTCCAGATCCAACGCCGCCAGCCTCGGCAAGATCCTCAATATCCTCCCCTGCGCCAGCGTCAGTTGTCTCTCCTTCTCTTTCCTCTCCGCTTCATCCAAGGGGTTGATGATATTCGTATCTTCATGCCGTCCCGCCAACAAGTTCAACACAAGTCCATAAATCTCCTCATCGTCAAATACTCGCTTCCACAAAGCTCCCGACCCCTTTTCTTTTCGCAGAACCAGGTCATGCCAAGTCGGCATCCCGGCATCTAAAGGATGTCCCGTCCCTCCCCTCCTCTGCTGTGTACGCGCCGGAGGTTCATGATCACAATCAACATCCAATAAATCCCCCATCACCTTCCCACCCTTTTCTCCCACTCCCACCTCTGAACTTCCCAGCCACGTGCAAACAAACGCTTTGACGACCTCCTTCATCTCCGCCAACTGCGCCACTTCGCTAGAAGCAGAGGCGGCTTTGTGTAATATCGTCATGGCGAGGATGTTGGCGGCCGGAAACGGGGACTCGAGAGCCTGGATTAAGGACTCGGGAGGCGCGAGGGAGGTGATTTGGCTGAAAGTAAGTGGGCGCAGGAGTTTGGTGGTTAGAGAGGCGGGCGTCGTTGGATCGGAGAGCGTGGTGTGCAGGATTTGGACGAGGCGGGGGAGGAGGGTGGTTAGGAGGGGTGGGGTGTTGGAGTCTGTTGAGGGGGATTGTTAGCTTTGATTGGGAAAGTCTTGGGGAGGCGAGAGGCGAAGGAGTAGAACGTTGGAGGTGAAAGAGAAGGGAAGGGTAGCGGAGGTGGAGGAAGAAGGTAGAGCATGAACCAGTCCGGAGAACGGGCAAAGAGAGAAGCATGACGGGTGAATATAGTTGGAGGTAACAGAGGAGAGGAAGCGTACCGGTCAACTGAAGCTCGAGATCATCAAACAATTTGGCGTTAAGCGGCGTGGAAGGGTTGGCGATTAGAGCGTCCATGTGCGCCGTGAGGTCATCGAGACCTGTGACGGGGATGTTGTTGTCCATGGTGTCTGTCTTTTCGATACTCGTTGCGCTGCTCGTCGTGGTACTCGTTATTCTCGCGTGATTATCTTGATCTTCGTCGTCGATATGTCTCGGATTTTCGTGTAGAAGTTAGCGACGGCGAGTGTGGTGATGATGGCAAACATGAACAGTTGACAGTGGAAGGTCAGCGAAGCAGAGGGGCCGTTCAGCAGTTCAGTGATCTGCAACAGGCGGGCGCTGGGCGTTGGGGAAACAGCTGCCGGTGGATACCACGGAACGGTGGGGTAAAGCGCCAAGACTTGAGCTTCGGCCCTGATCAGGTTTAGCGTTGACGGTATGCACGCTAACAAAATCCCTGCTCCCGCTTGGGGCCCTGTAAAAAAGTGACTCCAGTTTAATTCGCGTTCGTTCGTTATCGATTTGGGAATTTGGATTTGGATCCTTCTTAGACATTCCTCTTCGGCATATGACTCTGCAATAACATCATCGTCACCACCCTTGACCATTTCCACGACAAAACTAACTTGACGATATATCCTACCGATTAGGATTAAAAACCTCGACAAACAAGCCAATTCCCGCGACCGAGTCGATCGATCTACTGCCACCCACGACAGTAACACCAACACCAACCACATCTCCAACCACACATCCAGAACCACATCACAATGTCCGGCCGAGGAGGACGAGGCGGCCGCGGCGGTCGCGGTGGCGGGGGCGGCTTCGGCGGAGGACGGGGTGGTCGTCGCGCCGTAGCCGCCAACAGCGTTCCCTGGCAAATGGACCCAACCATCGCACTCGACGGCAAACCCTCGGAGCTCTTTCCCCCTTACAACGTTCCCAAAGCGCCCCTCCTGACAAAAAAAGACGACCGACAAGTCTCTTTTTTCTTATCCTTCCGCGAACAAAACCACGACTCGCCGCTGTACACGCAATCCCGAACCTGGGCGACGACGGAGCTCACGACCACTTCCTCCAGTCTCTTCGGGAGCTCGGCAAAAGCGACCATCGATATTTTTGAGGATGGCGTGCCGAGTTACTCCCACAAGTTCCAGCAGAAGGAAAGGACGCTGCCGGAGCTGGCGTCACGGCCTTTTGCTAAAGAGTTTTTTCCAAAGGAGCTGCATGCGACGCTTGATGGTGTTGATGGTCCGGGGGCGTCGAAACGGCGCAAGCTTGCTGGTGCTGCCAATGCGACAACGAAGACGATCGCGCTGTCATCGGCAGAATATAAATCCGCCGAAGACATCTTTGGGTCCGCAACCCGGTGCCGACGGTGCTGCAGGACCGCAAGAAGGCGAGCCGAATTACCAGCGAGCACTGCAGTTGTTGGCGATGGTGGAGAAGAAGGGCGAAGACGGCGAGGACGCGGCGGGCATTCTTACGGATGACGATGAGGATGATTGGGTCAAGAATAACGAGGATGAGGACGGCAATCCGGTTGCGGAGGAGGATGACGACTTTGAGGAGGACAGTGGCGACGATTATAATGCTGAGCAGTACTTTGATGGGAATCAGGATGATGACGATTATGGTGATGAGGGTGGGGATGAGGGCGGTGGTGGGGATTACTACTAGAAGTGATAGGTCTAGGGGAAGAAAGATCCTGGGGATCAAAGGGAGGGGGGGGGCGGGGAAGATGTGGACCAGATGAGCAAAAAAGAAAGCCTGATTCAGGACGAACGGGACAAGAGATTAGGAGAAGAGAAAGTTACCAGGACAAAAAGAGATGCTCAATGTCTCCGACCGACTTCTTGCTTCCTCCGAGCTGTATCACGGCTTGCTACCTCTGGATTATTGGTGGTATATCCGAGGCTGCTGCCCATTCTACTATATCAAGGGTTGATTGAGTAGATAGAGGCACATCGTCGGATGGATGGATGGATCTTAGGCGGACGGCGGTGGTGAGCATCTATCCATTGGTGTAGAGATATTGAGAGAGGAGTCAAGGTAGACAGACTCAAGGCATAAACATGATACCATTTTCTTCAGCACCATCATGACTTATGTGTGCATGTTGAACATCCTGCCTTGTAGGTGTGCTCAATTTGATTCTTGTCTGGTCTCGTGGTTCCTCACTATCGTGCCGTACCCTTGGACGTTGGACAATATGGTAGCTGCCCCTGTGTGGATACCGTCAGAACCAAAATTAGGGTGAGATAAAAGATCTGGAAATGGTTCGGGTAGGAATTCAAATTGTGATGTTTCAATAATCCTGCAACCAACGTAAATAGCAGCACGAAGTAGCACATTGATTCTTTTGGCAACAAAACATGGAGCACATGTACAGGTGAACAAACATGTACATTGAACAGAGTTCTCCTTCATATGCGAAAACCAGATCTAGACCTAGACCGGTAGAGGTATATATGGTGTAAGTAACAAAAGGTCTACAAGAAATGTATAGTACTGCTTGTGCTGTACTAGGAAAACTTGCGAAAAGAAACAAGCCTTCCACGGGCAATCAGGATGATACCGATTTCTCTATCCCATCCTTTCCATTAAGTAGCACCTACTATCCTCAGTGGTATCTTCTTCCCCTCTACCCCTTTCTTCCCAAGTCCAGTCCATCTACCCGACCGAAAACTTGACCATTTACCAGGCCATCTACCTCCCCATATCCTCCTCCCTCTCCTGGTCTTCTTCCCTCTCCCTCTCCCTCTCCCGTTCCCCAACCGTATAACTAGTTTCAAAAGTCATGGTACTAATCACACTTTCCCTCCTATCATGTCCCTGCCCCTGTCCCTGTCCATGTCCATACATCCCCCCATTCCCACCATTCCCACCACCATTAACACTCAACCCATCCTGCTGTTGCCCCCTCACATTGTGTACATGTCCACTAACCAACCCCTCAATCCCCAACCCCACCTCTCCCACTCTCCTCAAAACCCCCAAGCAAAGCCTGTCTAAGTTCCCTCTCCCCCTGCCCCAACTCTTTCCCAAGCAGTTCAATAACAACAGGATACATCTCCTTTAGATGTTTCTTGAAATCTTCCTCGCTGAACCCCTGCCTTCTGTTGTCCTGCTTCCTTCTCCCCTTCCCTCTCCTTTTTCGGTATTAGGAGAGCTAACGCCGCCCGCAAACCCATTAAGCACCTCCACAACAACCGGTCTCCAAGCCTGGATATTCCTATGCTGACTCTCCTCTTCCAATCCCACGTACACTCTCAGGATGTCCAAACACAGCGGTACCAAAGCGCGCTCGACATCCGCTTTGGAAGCTAGTCGTTCGGGTGAAGTATCGGCGAACATCCTAAACAGAATAGACACATAAACGGCTGCGGAGCCAGATTCCTGCTTAAGTAAATTGGGGGGTTGTTTCATGAACCCTTCGCGCCACAAACGCATGCGCAGATCCTTGTCGGCGTTGAAGCGCTTGGCGAAGAGGTAGGAGCGCTTGAGCAGGGACATGAGCTTGAGCAGCAGAGGAGAGGGGATGTGGCTGTAGACGGAGTCGTTGGAGAATAATTCCTGCACGGTCTCGATCATGAGGAGCTGGAGGACGCAGCGGCTGATGATGCGGTTGAAGAAGCGGCGGCGGGCGGCGGTGACGACGACAGGTTGTTGTTGCAGCGGGTTGGACGGCTTGAATTCTTCCAGACCTGGGGTGTTGGGTGGGTGACTGCTTAAAGCGGTAGAAGCCGTGAGGCGGTTGTGTACGGAGGAGTGAGAGTCTTCCACTTCGGGGCTGCCGCCGTTGGTGAGGGTCGTTTGATGGACGGAGGAGGTTTCGGATGCGGCGTCATTGTCGCCGTTGATCTTCAGAGAGCGGGTGTCGGCGTCGGCGTGGTCGGCAGAGGGGCTGAGTTGGCTGGAGTAGTCGAGGCCGCTTGACACCAATGAAGGAGTTGTGATGGTGGCCGCTTTAAAGAGCTGGTGGGCGGTGGTCTTGTCAAATAACTCGCAGAAGGTGTCGACAATCTTTTGCCAGTGTTCGTGGGTGAACTTCTCCACATTCTGAAGAATGAGCGTCTGCAGACAGTTGCTGCCGATACGAGCGATGGTATCATTCTCTTGCAAGATGCAGAGCGCAAGAAGCTCGAGGAACCGGTCGAGCATGTACTCCAATGGGTTGAAGTAGTGCGTGAACAGGGTGATCATGTTGCGGAGGGCTTGGATCATGGTAGTAGACAACCACACCGACAACTCCTCGTGGCTAAGGGCGTTGGACATTTCCGGCTTGGATCTCAACACCATGAAGATGGGGTATAGCTGCTGCCTCCACAAGATGTCCCAGAACCCAAGCGGGAACGTAGCTCCATACTTGAGCAGGGCATCAAAGAAGTAGTTGAGGGCATTCGACCGCACCTCCAGATCCTCTCCAGTCATGAGGACGTCATGGAAGGCGAACAGAACAGGGAACCAGAATCCCTCCTCCACCGACGTGCCCGTCTGTTGACCAGCGGGCTTGGTGGCACTGTTGAGAGCCATCTCGGCAACATTCGCGTCCGAGTTCTGCTTTTGCGACAGCGGGCACTCGGGAGTCTTGAGCATCTTGGGAATGATACTCTTGAGCGTCTCCATCGCCTGCAAGCTCTTCTTCTGGAACTTCATGTTCTTGGAAAACTCTGTCAAGCAGACGATCAAATCGGTGAACGCGCCTTGGGTGATGACCACGCCGAACCGCGTCTTGTACACATGCAACACGTTCTCGTAAGCCAGGTTGACGATGCTCTCGTACTGGTCCTTGGCCGCCACAGTAAAGACACCAAACATGGTTCTCCAGCCCGAACGGATCTTGTCACCCTTGGCCTGGATCATCTGGATCAGACACCTCAAGATCATATCCTTGACCGTGATATTGTTCGAGTTGGACATGACGTGCTCAAACGGCTTGAGGAAATCCTTCTGGAACTTGAAACCGGCCAGCTCCTCAATCTCCATGAAGCGCATGGACAACTGACGCAGCGAGTCGAGAGCGAAGAATACAATAGCTGCGTTGACGTGGCAGCCGACGCGGTTAAAGTGCTCACCCAATACATCCCAGATGTTGGTCCACTCGAACCTCACACGCGTCATGTTGTAGTATGAAATCTCGACAATCTTCTGCAGACTGTAAGTACGCGGCGAGTCGTTCGACCCCGACACCTTGATCTCATCCCAGCTGACCTCGGTCAAGGCACGGGCAAAGTGCACGATGGCCTCGCCACTGAGGTGGGCGGTGTTAGTGAAGATGCGGTCGACACTCTTGATAACCTCGTCGGATCGACTTTCGAGGGCAATTTCCATCGAGACACCCTGAGGACCCGTGTTAGACCGTGGGCGGTGTCGCTTGGCGGCCATGGACTTGCGGGAATCGGTGGAATCGGTTCTTGGTGGCGGAACGAAACGAGCCTTGGAAACGTCGGGGACGGCGCTCTCGTCGACACCACCGGAGATGAGCTGTAGACGATCAAGCTGGCTGATGCACAGGAGAACATCCTTCCACGACTCCTTGAGAAGGTTGCCTTCTGTCTGGCCAAGCTCGAGAATCACCTTGAGCGCCTCGACGTTCTTAGCCTGGATCTCCTGAGGGTTGTTGAGATTGGCCGTGTTCTTGAGCGCCGAGATGAAGGCCTCTCTAGGAGTGCTGAGGTCGAAGAAGCAAGCAATCTTGGTGGCAAGCTTCATACCCTCCAGACACAGCTTGTTCACGTCCAAGTTATGTGTCTTTTGCATCTGGCTTGACAACGCAGAGAAGAAGGACATCCACGTCACATCAAACATGGGCGATACATGCTTGAAAGAAGTAGCAGGGATGAACTTGATGCCATCCATCTTCTGAGCGTTCTTCCTTTGGCTCCGGTACAAATCCTTGAAGAGCTGCTCTGAGCGAAGGGCGATTTCCTCGGATTGCTGAGCATACGCCTCCCTCTGCAAGTCGCGACCAACGTTGGAGAAGGCTTGGCCAAGGCCAGCAGCCAAACCGCTGGACTGTGCCGGAAGAGTTCCCGCCGCCGCCGCAGCTTCACGCTCACTCTTGAGAACGATCTCGTTATTCTGAATATCGTCGTAGATGCTGATGAGGTACTCGTCCGGAAGGTTGGCGTTATCGTTGATACCGCGGTTATTCTTGATGAAGTCCTCCTTAGTCATGCGCCTGACAATCTTGCTGCTGTGAAGATCTGTGTTCAACATGATGACGGAGTACGCAAGCACGTAGGGTGTGTCGGCATTGGCAAAGGCCTTGGGATTACCCAACATGTATCTGTTGGCGAACTTGAGCATGAAGCGATCGATCTTCTGGGCTTCACCCGGCAAGCGGAAAGCCTGGAGGAACTGGCGAAGGGCATCTACGAAGCGCTTCTTGGTGAAGTCCATGGTATCGACGAAGGCGTGCATGATGTCGATGTTCTTCTGATCACCTTCACCGAGGTACTCGCCAATTTGGGCCTTGTCCAGCCTGTCCTCACTGATGAGGAACTTGGCAATGGCCTCGGGGGTATCTTTGGAGATGAAGCCTTCCTTCAACAACAGCTTGATGCCGTTCTTGGGCTTGTAGTTGAAGACGCGAATAGCATTGCCAAGAGCCGTCTTCCTTTGCTTTTCCTTTTCCAACTGATCGGGGTCATCGTCAAGCAGCGGTGTTGATGGCATCGTCGGGGTGTCAAAGCGAGATATGGACTCGCCCATGACCGAGGGGTCCATAGACTCGCGAATCTCATCGCTTGACGGTCGTCTCTCAGAAATGCCAGTACCCGAAGTGATGACCTCTGGACGCCCTGGATGGGACCAGTTGAGAAGCGACCTAAGCGTCTCAACAAGTGAATCCAGAGCCTGCCTCTTCAGAACATAGTCCTTGGGAATATCCCCATCAGTGTCGGTATTCTGAGCAATCAGGGCAACGTTAAGCGGTGGCGGCAAAACGTTGCGCATCTGCCACTCGCTAGCGGACCCATATTTGGAGTGGTTCTCCTCGTACTGTTGCTCTTGGAGTGCCGTAACGGTAGTGGAAGACGTTGCAAACTTGGACAAGTCCTCAACAATCCTTTGGAAAATGTTATCGACATTTCTGTCGCAATCATAATTAAGATAGAACTCGACCAACGCGCGAGGGTCCTCGCATAGCCTCTTGAGGATCCCGACAAAGGCGAGCTTCTGGGACAAGGGGGCTGTCCTCCTTGCCAAGAGGGCTAGGTAGATTTCGTTCAAGAAGACCTCAATCTCTTTCTGTTATCGTGTTAGCATCAATCGGGCTTCATACCGAGCACAACACATCACGAACCTTGAAGGGCGCTCTCATGTACTTGAGCATAAGCCAAAAGATCTCACAGCAAATATTAAATACTCTATCGACCGAGCTAGCCCCGTTCCGTGTGATACTCAAACACAGGTAGTACTTTGTGGCCTGCAAAAAGCTGGTGGGCTCGTTGTTCTTGGTGTTGGTGATGGTACAGTAGGGCGAAGTGAAAACAGAAATGTTGTTGTTGAGAAGGGTATGGATCAAGTGGAGGGAGATTAGCTTGGAGCGCATGGGCTGGCCGCGAAGGTCATACAGCTGATCGGGCGGCAGGATCTTGGTCGAGAGGTTGCAGAAAGACCGGAAGACGAGGTAGGCGTCGCGGATGTATACTTCGTCCTCGGCGTCTAGTGACTCTGGGCTGTCCTCTTGTGAACTCTCGGGCACGCTCTGTTCCGACACGGATCTTGCAGGCTTCCTGTTGGGCTGTAGCCGGGTGACCATGGTGGGGCCATCTCCTAGGTTGGAATCGTCGAAGCTCTTGCGGTGTTCGAGGTCCTTGAGGGTGAGCTTGGGGCCTTCGTTGTTGCCATCCCCTTGTTGCGGTTGTGACTCGTGCGCGTCTTGGTGGGTATTCTCGTCTTGGTCCCCATTGCCCTCCTCCTGTGTGGAATTCTGGCCGTCGGATGATCCGTTGACGTTGAAGCTGCTCTGGCTGGGCTTGAGTTTGCTTAGGTTGGCGCGGGCCTCCCTCATGTGCAGACGTGTGCTGACTCTCTCAAACACGGTTCCGACCATCTGTGTGAGGGTACCTTGGGCGACCTGCTGGTTGGCCGTACTCCTGGAAAGGAGAAAGATGTTGTAGACTTGGCGGACCGCCTTGAGCAGTCCGGCGCCGTGAACGACAATCTTGTCATTGAGTACGGCGGCCAAGAGGGACTTGACAATCTGTAGTTGGATCTCGACCAAGGTGGCCTCGCCCTGAAAGCAGTCGCAGATGGTATCGATGGCCCTTTCAATTAGGGGTGGGTATTGCTGCTGTGGTTGGCCATCCTCGCTCGCCGCCGCGGACCGGCCGGAAGGGACGGAGAAGTAGGTAGAGGAGATGAGCTTGCCGATGCAGTCGAGGGCGGTGGTGGTTAAGGGGATGGTGCCGGACTTGGTGGCTAGTCGCAAGGGGGCGAAGATGACCTCGGGGTCGGGGAGCTGCTGGTCGTTCGTCTTGATGGCCTCCTGGGCCTTTTGCGCCAATTCAGCCAGCTCCTTATTCTTGCCGGCATTGGCGGCAATGACGTCTAAAGAGGACGTCACGAACTTGAGGGAACTCATGGTTGGGAGTGGCCGAGGGCGGAACAGATGGCCATGCGTCGTGGAGCTTCAGCACATCTGACGGGGGGTTGTTGTCGAGGAGGAGTATCGTATAAGCGGAAGAAGGCTGGCTGTCAGTCAGCGGTCGTGTCCTCTTCTTGAGTCGTGTAGCGCTGTAGGTTGTAGAGTGTCGAAACGGAACAGGAGCTGAATAGCAAAGAAGTAAGCTCCCTTTGTTCGGTGGCTTGCTCGGGTATAATATCCGTCACCTCAGCTGCTTCGTATTAGGTAAAGTGGTAGGTATCGCGACAAGTGGTTTCGTGGCTCGGTTGGTTGCCGTATTTCGTCAGGGTGCAGCAGTGTTAATGACAGCCCTGGCTTTCGATATTCGACGGCGGCTTGTAGGTAGACTTTTGGACACTGTCGCTGTCTGTCTGTCGTGGTGTAGTGTAAGGGTGGCTCTCCTTCTGGAACAATGGAAGGAAACGAGTAGTATGGAGATCGCCAGTTTCAGACTTGCTCGGTAGGACGACAATGCTGGTCCCGGTACTGGATCGCTGGGTGTGCAATCTCTCTCTTTTCGCGAATCTCGACCTCCAAGACTTTGAACGGGATGGAGCTGGAGTCCGTGTCCTGAATAAGGTCCGAGTCGGCGGGCGGTGTTGCTAGTTGCTGCGGTGGTGCCGGTTTGGACGGGGGCAGTTGATTTCCCCTCTGAATCTCCAGTGTTGTCGTGGTGCTTTGGCCAATCACGTTTCAAGATTGAGGCTCTAACACCGCGACAACTCAGCAGCAACAGGCGGCCTGTGTGGAAGTTGACAGCATGCCTCCAATTAAGAGAGTGGGTCCACCAAGACCCTGATGGCTGTCGCGAGCACAGACCAGCTTTGACCCTTCCATTTCCTCTGTACACGTACGCTCTTATCTTCTTATCTGTGCCTGCCGGAAATGCAGGGGCATCGCTCGGCAGCTGGTCCCGTCTTTCGTCTTGCTGGCTGTTGCGGCTCTTGCCGGCCGACAACCTTTGTGAGGATCCGATGGAAGCCATTCTTCAGATGGATGGGTCCCGTCTCTTCAGTTGTCTTTTTTGATATTTTGGAAACCGGCGATCCATGACATCTTTTGCATCCATCAGACTCCATCCACGTCCAACTTGTAACTTGTGTTTCAATGTTTTGCCCTCTGAAAGTCACGTCTTGATGGCGTCAACATTTCAAGTGCAATCCGAGCAAGCCAAGTTGTGCTTGACTTTTTCTCCATTCATTTCGATATCACTTCCGGGCAACTTGAAGATGAAGCTTTTCAACGATTGACACCAACACCATCATGAACAGACATTGCAGAGTTATCTGTCCCAAGTTGCTCTACCGAATTGATCTGCTATCAGCAGTCGTGTCAGGTGATCCTTCCTATCTATTCTTATGAGGACTTTATGCCATTGTGCAACATGTCCTTGGGCATCTCTGATATCGGAATATTCTCATCAAAGTCCTCTTGGAGTTGAACAATTGCAGCGCTATCAATCCTCCGGTCGGCCCGCAAAGCGTAATCCGTACCTTGGCGCGAACCGCTATGGATCCTGTCCCCTCCTGCCCTGCAGCTGTCAGTCCGACATCAAGCCATGTCAGCTCTTCTTTTTTTGTTCACCGGGGAATTGATAGAGTCAGCATCCTTCGTACCACAACAGCAATGAAACCTGAGAGTCCTGTAGATCTCACTGCCTGGTTTTGATAATACCTCAGTCCTCTTTTCTTTGTACATAACCCTCATCGCCTCTCCAAGAGCTAGCTTGACATCTCCAATTGATGATTGCAAACTCTTATCAATGAGACACTCTCGACACTGTATGGCTGAGGGGCATCCAGTCGTCGCTTAACCTCTTTAAGCTTAGCGCCACTCACTCTTTGCTAGGCCGGGCGGACCGTGTTATTCTCGGACCCCATTGCGCGACCCGGGGGGGGGTTCCCAAAGCTTGGCCTGTTTTTGGGCAGCTGCTAGGCCATGCTGGCCCTGAAATCGCTTCGTCTTGGCACGGGCCCTGGCTTTGGGGGCGCTGGAACTGCTGGGGGGAAGCTTCCCCCAACTGTTGGGAGAAATCCATCGCAGGGGCAAAGAGAGACCAGGAGCTGAGGGGACAGACGGGAGTGGTGATGGCCACCAGTGAGAGGTGTGATGCCACCGCAGTGGAGAGAAGCGAGAGGAAAAAAAAAAAAGTTCGAGTGTCGCCGATTGAAGTCCGGCTCCGTGTCCCGCTGCCCTGCCCGCTGTCAACTTTCTGTTGTGTGCCCGCCGTGCCCGCCCGCACTCCACGAAACAAACATTGGAACTGAATCCCGCGCAGTCACTTCTTTCCTCCAATCCATCCCATCCAACCTGCACTCTTCCCGTTCTTTTTCCACTCTTTTCCCGCAACACCTGACTCGCGCAGTCTTTGACTTACAGTACACCAGGCCACCCTTCATACCGCGAAGCATTGAGATCACTAGCTCTCTTGCTTAATTTGCTTGGCCTACGATCAATCCGTTCACCATCCCGGCCTCCGCAGCAAGCTTTCTCCAACCGCGTCCCTCTGCCCCCCGGCCTTTCCCCTCTCCAAGGTTCTGCCGCTGCCGCTTTGCTGTGTGCTGCTGCTGCTGCTGCTGCTGCTCCTCCTCCAGCTGTTTGGAATCCCCACATAAACATTCCATACTAGCAAACCCAACAATCACCATTCTCAAAACACCACAACCAACCCTCACACAACTCTCACCATGATCGTCCCCGTCCTCTCAAGGCAGGCTCTTCGCCATGCCAGCGTCGCCCGTGTCGCCCTCCCCAGCCTCACAAGATGGTACGCCTCGTACCCCCCTCACACCGTCGTCAAGATGCCTGCCCTCTCGCCCACCATGACGGCGGGCAATATTGGCGCATGGCAGAAGAAGCCTGGTGACTCGATCGAGCCCGGTGAGGTTCTCGTTGAGATCGAGACCGACAAGGCCCAGATGGATTTCGAGTTCCAGGAGGAGGGTGTGCTCGCCAAGATCCTCAGGGAGTCGGGCGAGAAGGACGTCGCCGTTGGCAATGTAAGTACCTTTCTCCCTCCAAAAGAAGCCACGAGTCATCATACCTGCCAAACTCCAGCCCTACTCCAACTCCATGACTCCATGCATCTCCCACCCCCGACCCTCTTCCCCACTCGATCCTGAATCCACTCTTATTCCATATGCCTCGTGCGCCTCGTGCCATGTACCTCGTCCATCCGTCGGGCTACATGTCATGCCTCGAAGGTCTACACGCCTCGCGTCACCTTAGCTTGTGTGCGCCTAATGTATACAAACAAATCCATGCTAACCATACCTCTTCCTCCTACTCTAGCCCATTGCCATTCTCGTCGAGGAGGGTACCGATGTCAGCGCCTTCAAGGACTTCACTCTCAAGGATGCCGGCGGCGAGACCTCCCCCGCTGTTCCCAAGGATGAGCCCAAGAACGAGAGCACCGCCAGCGCCCCGACTCCCGCTCCTACCCCCGCTCCCGAGCCCGAGAACACTGGCTTCAAGGGCCGTATCCAGACTGCCCTTGAGCGCGAGCCCAACGCCGTCCCTGCTGCCAAGAGACTCGCTCTCGAGAAGGGTGTCAACCTGAGCACCGTCAAGGGCTCCGGTCCCGGCGGCAAGATCACCGAGGAGGATGTCAAGAAGGCCGTCTCTGGCGCTCCCGCTGCTGGTGCCGCCGCTGCTCCTGCTGCCTACACCGATGTTCCCATCTCTGGCATGCGCAAGACCATTGCCGCCCGCCTGAAGGAGTCTGTCTCGGAGAACCCCCACTTCTACGTTTCCACCAACCTCTCCGTCAGCAAGCTCCTCAAGCTCCGCCAGGCGCTCAACAGCTCTGCTGAGGGCCGCTACAAGCTTTCCGTCAACGACTTCCTCATCAAGGCCATTGGCGTTGCTTCCAAGCGCGTCCCTACCGTCAACAGCTCGTGGCGCGAGGGTGTCATCCGCCAGTTCGAGACTGTCGACGTTTCCGTTGCTGTCGCCACCCCGAACGGCCTCATCACCCCCATCGTCAAGGGTGTTGAGGGCAAGGGTCTCGAGAGCATCTCGGCCGCCGTCAAGGAGCTTGCCAAGAAGGCTCGCGACAACAAGCTCAAGCCCGAGGAGTACCAGGGTGGCAGCATCTCCATCTCCAACATGGGCATGAACCCCGCCGTCCAGAGCTTCACCGCCATCATCAACCCTCCCCAGGCCGCCATCCTCGCCGTTGGCGCCACCCAGAAGGTTGCTGTCCCCGTTGAGAACGAGGATGGCACCACCGGTGTTGCTTGGGATGAGCAGATCATCGTCACTGCCAGCTTCGACCACAAGGTTGTTGATGGCGCTGTCGGTGCCGAGTGGATCCGCGAGTTGAAGAAGGTCATCGAGAACCCTCTCGAGCTCCTTCTTTAAGCGCGAATAGCACTTTGTTTTGGATGACGTTCAACGGAGTTACAAGGACCGAGCCGCTGCGAGATAGATAGCAGCCACTTGGCCTCAAGTTAACGGCAGGCAGGCGCATGAGATTTTATAGAAATGGTCAGGCAATGGATGGGTGGATGGGTGGATGGCAGGAAGAGAGATGGCGGCATGACATGTCAGTCAGTCAGTTGGCAAAAAAAGCGAGCTGGAGACTAAAAAGCTTTTGGGAGGTTCCATTCAGTGTCATGTTTGTGTTCTCTCTCAACCATCATATGTATAATGATTCGATCCCACTTTTAAGAAGCAAAACCTTGAGCATGAGGTGTGCGGGAAATACAGGAATTCTTTGTTCTTTTTTTGGCTTGTCAGAGTTGAGTTCATTCAAAACATCGCTTAGACGAGTCGGGGACTTTGGACATGGAGTTGGGGATGGCACCCCATCGTTCATGTCCAGTTGTGGCCAGGGCAGCAATTTTGGCAGACTTGTTGCTCGGCCGAGGAGACGGTATTTGGATATCAACACTATTTTAGTTGGGCATACCGAGGAAAGTTCTTCACTAGGGAGCATCACAAGTGTGATGTTAGGATCGTGGGCGGCGAACTGTTCGTTCCGAGGCATGGAAAAGCTCAGGCTTTCCAACTTCAGACCGAGGCAGCATGGTTAACCAAGTGGAAGCGATCGGATGAGATTGTTGTCTGCTCCTTCCTTCCTTGAGAGCATGGTGGGGTGTTGTCAAGCTGGAGATGGTTCCTGCCATCTTCTGATCATCACTCAAGACGGGAGGCAGTCATCACCGACATCTCAAAACACCTACTGCCCCGTTTGGGTTCTCCCTGCGCGATGGTCAATTTCTTCCTTCTTCCTCTTCTTCGCCTTCTCTTCAGCGTGTGATGTCCGTCTCCTTCATGGCTGCTCTGCTGCCTTTTCAGTGTCTTCCGTCTTAGTCTCCTTCGTTCTGCCTCATCATTGTTTGCCCATTTTTGTCATCCCCAATCTTGACTTGTTGGCCTTCTCCTTTCACGCCAACAGTTGCTCCTCTGCGCTTCCACCTCATTTTCTCCCTCAGGACGCCCGCTTCCTGGCGTTCTCATTCCTTGTTCTTCCTTCCTTCACCCTCCCGCCTTCTCCCAGCACCCTGATCGTCTCTTCAACCACGCGTTGCTCACCTTCTGTGTTGAGAGGTACCAATGTGAGCCCTGCCGATGCACTCCAACATTTTTCATCACACATGCCCCTTCCATGACGGCACTCCAGAGATCGCAGCAAGAAACAACAGAAGACACTTGATCTCAAAACAAATCATGGAGTCTACTTCCCTGCCGATCCCTGATCCCCAGGTGGCTCCAAGCCGCTGGCGTTTCTGATAGCAAGAAGTATGTTCTTGTGTCGAGGACTACTGACAGTGAATATCTGCCCTTTGCATCCACCCTTTGCATCGAACCCACCGTCTCTTTCAACAATAACATCATCCCTTGTCTGTTCCACGGAGTTATTTATTCTTGGACAATTGTCGCTCATACCTCTAAATCTGCTCGACTCAGCCCTGCAGCTCATCAGCATATTTTACCGTCGACCTGACTGCCAAGAAGCTTGCAGACCACAAACACGACGATCGCAGCGCCGTTTCCACTCATCCTGACTAGACAATACGATACAATACGGTACGACACGAACGACACGCTGGAGGCGAAGACGTCAAAGAATATCCGATTCTCAAAATGGCCAACGACCAAGAGAGCTGGACTGACAGTTCAAATACCCTTGGCGAGGGAAGTGGAGGTGGCGAAGATGCGGACGGGAACATATTAAGGGAGTTCGGTCTTCAAGTCCCTTCCGGAGAAGAGATCGATGAGAAGTAATGTTCACCCAAACCAACACAAGATTCGGACGAGTCATGTTCCTAGTCACAATGCTGTGAATGCTAACCCCAACGATATTCCCAGTCTCGTTCCATCGCCCGCTCAAGAAAGCTCACAAGCTCATAATCGCCCGATCGAACCGGAAGACGCTCCTGTCCATCATTATTCTCATACACAGCCTCATGCTTTCGGAACTTCTTACGACTTCTCCAATATCGGCCAACAGCATCAGACTGGGTATGAGAACTGGGGGTTCACACCGCATCCAGATATTTCGAACCATGACAACAACTGTGCTTTTGCACAATCCGCCTGACGACCACCAGGCTGTGCATCATGCCGGGGAGATAATATCAGCATCAGGGCCACCAGCACAGACGTATCAACAATCGTCACTTGTCGGACAACCAGCTCACTCGTATCAACAATCGTCACTTGCACAACCAGGTCCGTCTCATCAACAATCGCTTCCTGCCACTGAACAGCATATCCAACCTTATGGTTTATCCTCACCGGAGCTAGTTGATACTTTTCGAGACTACGATATGCCGAGCCATCCGGGACAGGTCACCCAAGCCGACACTCAGTTCCCGCCTATACGAGATCTCAGTGAAGGAAAATACGTCCATCAACACGAAGGCCATGTTGCAACACCTGTCCGTCGTTTCCATGCCCCGCAACAGATCGAATCTGATCCTATTTCAGCACAAGCTTAGGTGCGGCAATCAATGTCTACTTATATAAGGCTAAGAAATGAATACCAAAAATGGCCGCTGGAACTGAGACTTGAAGCGGCCAGGATGATAGAAAGTGGAATGCTTAATGGATGTAAGCTAGCGGATATATGCAGAGACTGTTCCGCTGAACTCGATATCGCGGTGCAAACAATACGGCGTTGGTGGGAAGAAGGCCGACACGATATTTGGTTCCAGGAACCAAAGTTGAACGTCATCAAGTACATACAAGACCTGAGGACGAGTCACGAAGACAAGCAAGGCAGCATCGCTGCTGCGGCTCATGAATTTGGCGAAAGTATTCACACAGTGACAGTGGTGGGGTGAGCGTGAAGTTCCCGGTTTAAGAGACGAGATCATTAGGTTCATAAAAGAAAGGCACCCCCAAGCGTGGCCTTTACGTAGAGACTGCTATCTGTTTTGAGGTCCTCCCCATCAGAGTAAAGAGCTGGATGGCTTCAGAACAAAAGAGGGGGTCAATGGGGAGGAACAATGCCAAAGAGGAGGACGGGGGGCAGCTCCAGAGACTGCCCCAAAAAACGCACAACTTGAACTACCCAACTGACTCGGATGATGCAAAAAAAGACGAGGTTATTAGATTTCTACAAGAAAGGCTCGGCAAACGTGGCGTACTACGCAAGGCTGCCGAGCACTTTGGCATCCCGCTTGATACTGCAGTGAACTGGTGGAATTCTTGGAAAAGAAGTGCCGGAGGGGAGATGAATAATCCTTTACCAATAGGGAAGCGTGACATGGAGGATAACAATGGAGACAGGGAGGACAGTGAGCGCTTGGAGGGTATGGAGGGTAGGGATGACATTCAGGGCATGGAGGGCAATGAGGGCAATGAGGGCAATGAGGGCAATGAGGACAATGAGGGCACGGAGAGCAGTTATGACATGGAGGATCTACTGTACTGGCACGAAAAGCTCCAAAAATAGCGTGAACCTTCTTCGGTTGATGGCAATGTTGAGGGGCCTGGACCATCATCATCGCGTGAGCCGCCCGCCGGGTGAGCCTGAGCCAGACCCAGACCCAGAGCCCGGTGGTTACCAAGCACCTGCACCAGCTTCCAACTTGGGGTGAACTGCTCCATCATACCATCTGGGTATGTCAACTTGGTATATGTACATAGCTCGCCAAGCGCTCAGCCTTTCAAGCGCGGGAGATCAGATCAGATCGCATCAGATCATTCACATCAGCGGATTTTACCGAGAATTATTACCAAACTGAAGAATAAGAATGGATGGTGGGTTGTGGGTTGTGAAATGACAAGGCGCATATGGCCCTTGTAAGCTGAGGCCAGAGGCTGAGTGAGTGAGTAGGCAGAGGCTGAGTGAGGTATGCGAGGTATGCGAAGTATGAATGGTGATGTTCCAAGTTCCAACTTCTGGTTTCTAGTTTCTGGGTTCCGGTTCCAGCTGAACGGTCCAGACCGAACCACCATGTGTCTGTCGTGGCTTGTGACTGGAGTGAGTCTACATGCACCCCAGAGATGTAACACTACCTACCTTACCTAGGACAACGGTGTGAAACCCGTGGTGAAGTTTTGCTATCCGCAGTTCCCGCAGTTTTGCTGTCCGCAGTTTTGGTTGCTGCTCACAGTTCTCAAAGGATGATTCCCACGGCTGAAGTCCCACGTCGAAGTCCCACAGTCCCACGGATAAGCCACACCCGGTCTGTTGGTCGGTCAGCTACGAGGTATCAACGGTAACGGTGAGAACTAAGAAAACGCAACAACAAACAGAAACAATCTCTCATAGGGACATATTTCTCTGCAGTAGATGCAGACTGGACTGCAGTTCACCAACCACATGGCCACATGGCAATGCGCGGCGGCGGCGGGGTACAGTGGTCAACCCCATAAGTTCCATAACTCATGCACGTGCTGTGCAATCGGACATACACAATGGAACAAGCCCGGTTGAGGTAGGTAGGTGGGATTTGGGAGGAGGAGGTACGTTAGTACGTTGGTACGGTAGGTATAGCACGTGCGTAGGACTGTACCGGTAGGTAGGTTGAAATGGAGGCTGGGCCGCACGCGGCCGGACTTGAAAGTGGGGAAGTTACGGCTCGGTTGTTACGGCTCCCGTCGTACGGGCAAAATGGAGAACGGCGGGGGTGGAGATCGGAGATCGTCCCCGGAGGGAAGAAGAGTGGGGCTACGGTAAAGGGTGGGGCCCACGGTTCAGTGATCCGGATGGAAGTGAGATCTTGTTTGTTATCTCCGATCCGGGCTGGGCGGGCTGGGCGGGCCAAGGTCACTGTGGCTCAGGCTGCTCAGGTACGCGAGGGCGTGGCACGGGCTGTTGTTTGGGTTAATCGCCCGGAGTTTGCCAGCCAGGGCAGTTGGAGAAACTGCCCGATCAACTTTCAGAAGTTCATGGACTTCGGAGATAGAAGTAGAAGTGAGATTCCCCAGCAAAGTGTTCTACCTATCGTATGTCAAGGCGTACCCACCGTAGCTTAGCTAATAGGTTCATCAGCAGCCAAGGTATCTCCAGTGCAGACAGGTAAACGTGTACATGTACAGCGACTCCATACCTCTAGATGTCGGTGTTCGCACGCCGTTGCCCGCGTTGCCCGCGTTGCCCCCCGCTGTGGCATCGTATGTTAATAAACGGTTCTCTGCTGTGCTTGTTCCCTTTCATTTCCTTTCCTTCCGTCTTCTTCATGTTTCGTCGTGCTTCTGCGTCAGTTCCATCCACCCCGTCGGCTTCTTTTTACCCGTTTGTGAAGCAGAGTTGGGGAACAGACAGGATCTGTCAGCCTCACCAACGGGTAGATGTTTCTTGGTGGTTGCTCTGTGATTCTTTCGGTTTTGTTCCGTTTCGGCAGGGGGGTTGGTTCGTTACTAGGGCGAACCTAAGTGAGGGTCATCTGACCTCCGAAATCTCACTCAGCCGTTCCGCCCTACGCTGGAAATGTTCAAGTGTTTCTTTCGCCGGCGTCTAGGTATCTATCCGGTTTCCGGCTGCGGACATGGACTTCTCAGTTCTCAGCCATCCCAGGGGTTTTTTACGGATTTTGGAATTGGAGTTTTGGGGTTGGGGGTTTGATGTCGCCATGTCATTGTTAAGTTCCGTTCTCTTCTCTTATTCGAGGAAGCGGGCATGTGATTGGAGAGATATTGTTAAGGAAAGGAGATAAGCGAATCTTGGCAATCTTATCGCCTTGCCTGCCGGTAGAATCGGGCTCATCATTGGTCTGTGCTCTGTCAGCGCTCTCGGAAACTCCCGTCCGAACTTGGAACCTGAGAACTGAAATGCGAACTGTGATCGAATTCGGCTTTTACCACTTTCGACCGACTGCAGGGTAGACAAGTAGCAGACAAGCTCACAAGCATCACAAGGACATGGGTCGGGCCTTCGGCTTCTACGGAATGAGGGAGTGAGTGAACGGACGGAGCAATCTCCTCCCTCGTGTTCCCTGCTGTGCTAATGCTATGAGCTGTGAGCACCATGAGGGCGTAAGCACCGAACCCTCAGCCCCGGCCCTGCTGCAGAGAGGGGGAACGCGGAAAATGCGGAAAATATTGGGGGGAACGAGGGTGGTTACAGTGATGCAGTGATTGCGCTGCAGTGATTGCGCTGCAGTACAGTACGTACACTAGGTAGATGACACTTGATGGGAAATTGGACCCTGTTCTTTTCTTTGCTTTTTTTCTGCGATATTTTTTCTGGTGGGTTTTTTACCTTTCGTCTTGTTTTTTTTCGGTTGCGTGAGTCTTTGTTCGTGCTTCAGTTGTGCTTGTTCAGTGATAGATGGCTTGATGGATTGAGCAATCTGGCGAGGATGATCCTGAGCCGGACAGTTCGCAACGTCGAGAGCGAGGGAGGTGCGAAATTCGGAGCCTGCAGTGGAAAGCGAGACAAGAAATGGAATCGATCCGATTGAAAGAAATTCAGTCCAAGTTTAAAAATAAAAAAGAGAAATAGGTGAGGTCACGTCACTGCCGCCCAGCATTACGTATTTGGCACAGCCTTTTCGGACTGTTGTCAGTTATCATTCTCGGGAGTCGGGAGCGAGTCGGGTTGTGGGTGGACTGAGTAGGTGGATTTCCCGGCGGGCGCATCGGAAACGACGGGTCCTGGCGGATTTCCCAGGCGGGTTTAAACGACAGGTTGGCGTGGCTCGGCACGGGCATAGCTTTCATCAGTCTACGGGCGATGGCGGAGATAACGAACCACGCACCACGGCAACAACCCAACGTGCAGGAATGGTTCGGAAATACCTAGAGAGTTGAAAGTTGAAATAAGTCGCTTGGCCAATAGGATGACGAGCAATTGGGATTTCATTGTGAAAAGAGAGTTTGTACGTAATGAGGCTCTCCCTCCTTTCCGTTGCGAAGGATTCCGTTTCAAATTCCACAGCAGTTCCAGTTCCGATTTCTGAGATCACAGTCTCCGCAATCGCATTCGGTTACCGGATAGGTAGACTTGAACCTGGAAGGAGTGCAGTGGTGGATGGTCCACTGTTGATGCGATCCAATGTGGTGTTCAGGTACCTGCTGCCTTGGAGATTGGCCCTACTTTGTGCGTCGGGGTAGAGCAACTGGAACTGGGGACGGGAGATTTGGATGCAAGTTGGAGAAGAGCTGAGCTGCCCGTGTCGGGTGTGCAACGGTTCCCTTGAGCAGATAAAATGTCTCCGACGGTCGGTAACAAGAAGCATCAATCGGAAGGCTTGCCAGAACATGATCTTACATTCTGTTCCTTATAAGATAAGATTCAACGTCGGACATGGGTGACTGAGACATGATGGCTTCCACCACCTACCTACCTACCTCCTGTACCTCGGGGCCATCTCAAAAGGGAAAAGGGTCGGTGATTAGCTGTTTAGGTGTGCCCGTGTGTCGGCTTTCAGCCCCCGCATTCCATAACAGTTTTCGGTCCCTACCCGCGCACCCCCGACGACCCGTTGTCCAATGTGTGTGTGTGTCTGACACGGGATGGATTGATGAGTGATGGGAGATGGCCCTCCATGACGGATATATCGCAGTCTTTGTAATCGGCTGTATTTATGTTGCACGGTACAAAGGTACGTCCCGCCAATATCCGGAACGGAGTTATCGCCAATCTACTGTACCTAGGTACATACAGTACACTACTGTACTGCCGTTGGTCGGGCTTTGGTCGCATCTGCTGCAGTGTACGTGGGAATGTGTGTAAGTCACCTCACACTCTACCTTACGGCGGGTGGCCTCTTTTCAGCCTGTCAGTGTCGAGAGTTCCGCCGGTTACATGGTCTGATCTAGTGCCAACCGAGATGATATTTAGGTAGGTAGGGAGGGAATGGACGGCCTTTGGATGTTCTTTCCTCATAATTTCCATGTAATTGGGAAAAGGGAGATTGCTGCGTGGGACAACACTCTGGCAAGTGTGAGTTGTACATAGCTGGAAAAAGTGGAAGTTGGTGTAGGTACACTGGGGGTATTGAGTACTTCAGGATTCATTAGAGCCATTTTTCGTTTCCCCTTCATCCTTTCCCGCTTTCATAATCCCTGCTCCTGATCATCTCTCTCGTCCCATACGATCCAACTTGTGACAAGGCTTACAACTAACTTCTCTCGGCTTTTATTTTAATTGACTTTTTGGCTATCCGTCTTTTCGTAGGGCTGCCATTTTTGTTTTACCGGGGGAGAACCTCAAGGCACGTCTAAAAGCATTGTTGACTTGTTTACTAACTCCGACCCCCCCGGCTGTCCTATGTCCCTGTTATTACTGAGACAAGAGGCAATACTCCATTTCCAAATAGTACCTCACTCATCCCGCCATCATCCGAACCCAGGGCCATCTTTCTGCAAATCGCTCCCCTTTCTCTCGGTCCCAGGTTACGTCTCGTCTCTCTTTCCTCCGAGATCCGACATCCGACGCCGTCGCACACTTCTCCCTCTTAGAGTCCGTGTCAATCCAGTCCAGTCTCGGTCATTACACTGGGACGCTGTACCCAGTCTCTAGCTCGTCTTCGCCAGTCCCGTACCCAGTCCCAGTTTCAGTCTCAGTCCCGGTTCCAATCAACAAGTCCATCGATCCATCCATCGATCCATCCATCGATCCAGGGCCATTCAGTGCCCAGTCGTCGCCAATCTCGGGTGCGTCTGTTCCTGGCAGACGGTCACTGCAAGTCTCCACCGTGGGAAGCTGCTGCTGATCATTGACACAATCCCTCAATCCAAGATTCACAAGATCCCGCCAACAACCAAGACGTGCGGTCGACTCGACTACCAAAGTCCTCCAGAGTTGTCCTTGTCTTTTTCCCAAGTCGATTGTTTGCGCATATTGAAGAGGCATCCAGCCAACCAGGCCTCCCTCTAGCAGCCATTTGCTCATTGGGACTGGCGACAGCGGGACCGGACTGGCCCGTGTGTCTGTGTGTCTCGGTAACAAGTGCAGCCATTGAGTGGGAGGGAAATCGTTAACAAGAGGCAATTGTTTGTTGTTCGGAATTCGGATATGACAAACAAGTTCAACAACTGACAGACCCGGACTCAAAATGGCCGACCCGATGGATGGAATCGGATCCACATCACCGGCACCGGCACCGGCACTACCGGCGTCACAGCAGGGTCCATTGCCCTCAATTACTACCTTGATGCCGTTGCCGCCAATACCCGCCGTGTCAGCGCCGCCGCCGGCCCCGGCACCCAACAGCTTCAACCGTTCGTTAACACCGCCCGGACATTCCTTAACAGCAGCACACCCTATAACCGCCAGGGGCACTGCATTCCACGCCTCTTCAGCAACACCTCCGCCGCCACAACTCCCGCCTATTCCATCTTTCAACTACCAAAACCAGTATCCGCATCAGCATCAACAACCACCACATCAACAATCAACACCATGGCAACCGGCCCCGATATCCCGACTAACACCGACACGTCAAAGCCCCTACCGCCCGTCGTCGTCATCAGCACATACGCCGTCGCCCACTAGGCCAGCTTTTGCTGCTCTCAATCAACAACATCAACAACAACCACCCACGCTCCCCGGTCCAGCGGCCTTACTGAACAATTACAGCAACCCCTACATCCCCATCTCCAACGCACCCTCGCCGGCGCCCAGCATCCCGATCCTGTCATCCACCACTGTTCCATCCTCCGCCCGGCAAAAAGGGCCCCAGCAAGAACAGAGACCCCCGAATAAACAGACAAAACGGCGTAATCGCCCCGCTGTCTCATGCACAGCATGCAGGGCGCGCAAGATCAAATGCGACCAAGGGAGACCGTGCGAAAGTTGCGTCAAGTACAAGTTTCATAGAGGCAGATGCGAGTACGACCAGTCGAGATTACCCAAGGAGAAGTCCTGGTCTTGCAAAGCGACGCAGATAGAATCGAGAGAGGCTTCGCCAGAACGGGAGCCTACCTATTCAGCTGTGCCCCAGAACGGCAGAGGTACGCCAGATGGCATGGTGAACGAGGAAGGGGGGGCTTTCTTGACCGGCGCACGAAATGGTCACGATGCACGGTATCGCGAGCGCGACTACCCGGCGTCTGTTTATGCGGGCGCGTATCGCGGCAGGTCAACTAGTCCCCAGGTGCCGGCCTCTACGACCGAACCTGGACCATCGGCGGCTTTGAGTCCGATTTCTCATCCCCAACACTCGGGTGGTCCTCTTTCTCAAACTGAAGTGGGAATGTCGGAGAACGAGGCACTTAGGAGGGAGAACCTCATGTTGCGACAGAAGCTCGTGGAGAAACATCAACGCGTGGAGCAGCAGCAGCCACAACTACTATCACCAGGAACAAGACCGTTGCCAGAAATTGGACCTGGCTCTCAGACTGGCGCGCCCAAGACTGGCTGGCACGTCAACCAACTTGTGAGCGCCTCTCCAGCCCTCCTCTAGCACGTGCTTCTGCTTTACCACAATGACTTTCCAGACTGATATATATCGCTTGATACTCTAGTTTCCACTAGTTAGCCGGGCCAGCTACAAAGCCTTCGGAAGAAAGGACGACCAAAACACGGCCTGGTTCAACCTTAGAACATGCACCCACCTTGTCCGAAAACTCGAGGAATCGCAATCCCGAATCCTCGCCCCCCTTGACGTCGGCGACCTCGGCGGCGCCCTCCCCATGTCCTACCGCCAAGACGCCCAACGCCTAACCGAAGCCTATTTCCGCACTTTCGAGAGCGTCTACCGCATCCTGGACGTGCCCGACTTTTGGAAGCGGTTCAGAGAATACTTTGATGGCCAGCTTGACAAGCAATCCCAAAGAGCCTTCGTTATCCAGCTCCAGCTTTGCATGGCTATCGGGGCGGTATTTGAGGATGTTGGTGGTTTATTGCGGACGTGTCAGGAGAGATGGATCCAGGAAGGGCAGTCATGGCTTTCCCAATTCCCGTCGACGGAGCTGGCCTGTTTGCAGACCATGTGTCTTTTACACCTCGCCAAAGAGGTTTGTGGATTTGGCGGAGGTGCGGGTGAACTAACCTACATCTCGGCTGGTTCTCTCTTGCGAAAAGCATTGTGTCTAGGTCTTAACCTGGATCCCCACGCGTCAATGCCCATCTACCAAGCCGAACTGCGTCGACGATTATGGGCCACCGTCTTGGAAATGGTTGTCCAATCGAGCTTGGATACCGGCCTTCCACCGGGTATTTCCATCAACGACTTCGATACTAGCCCACCGGCGAACTATGACGACGAGCAGCTTGCCCTCCCGAACCCGGTTCCTCGTCCATCGAAAACATTCACGCAAACGACCGTCCTCCTTGCATTACACCGCTCGTTCCCTGTGCGGTTAACTATTGCTCAACACGTCGCCACGCTGCTCAACTGCTCCAAATCAAAGGTCCCGGTAGTCGAATCCGAACGAACGACAGCATTCCTCAACGTTGAACTGAAGGATAAACTGTATGAACTAAAGCGCACGCTTCAAACCGGCTATGACCGCGCCGGCATCTTGCCAGATCGGATCTCGATTTTCCAGCTAAAGATGGCGGAGATGTTGATTAATCGCTTCTTTTTGGGTTTGAACTTGGCTCTGGTAAAACCCTCCGACGTGGAAATACCAGAAGGGAGGAAAGATTGTGTCGGAGCAGCAATTTCAATCTGGAGGGATGTTGTTTCAGGTTTGGGCAACGCAAGAGAAGCAGGAAGGAGCTCTGGCGGAGGGGCGGCGCAACACCAAAACATGGACGACTTCACCAGTCTGCTGAGCCGCGGAAGCGGAATCTCCTACCACGCAACGGCTATGGTGGCTATTTTGACTCTGCTGATGCAGAAAAAGCGGGAGTTGGAGGAGGAGTGGCAGCAACGACAAGTCCGACGTGGTCACCAACATGCGCCGCTGCCTTCGATCAATCGCCATGGGCACCTTGACCACCGGGCATCGTCAACGGGCTCAGCTGGTTCGGATTCAAACTCCACAGCCTCAGCAAGCAACAAAAGCCGGGTAGAACAGGACGCGTTAGCAGAAGAAGCAGCAAGACGGGACGTACTAGACCTAATTCGTTATGCCGTCGACTGGACTTTTGGCAGAATCCAAACTGCGAACGTGGATACGGGGAGCAATGTTTGGATGCACTTGCTTTTCTCGGCGGCTCTGGAAGCGCTGATAGGTTTGCGGAGGAGGTTGGAGACGCAATTGCAGCAGCAGCAGAATGGGAGTTCGATGTCTCAGGTAGAGAGAAACTCGGAGGAAGAAGTGCAAGAACTGGAAGTACAAGTAACGAAACGCATTGTAAATGATTTGAAGAGGGTTGTTGAGGTCCTGACGAGGGTTCAACACGATGGCGATACTGCTGCGTTGGCGACCAGGGTCGCTAATGAAAGAAGCTTGGGGTTAGAGATGGGGGCAGAGAGGGGAGGTCATCCGGTAAGTCCTTTTTCTTTTGCGCCCCAATGTCCATTTACCCCCGTCCGCCCTTGTCGTTGACCGCTATGTCCCGCTGTCGACGTTGGTTGCTTATTGGTTCTTCATCCAGGTCATGCACTTCAGATCTGTCTTCGATCTAAGAAAATACGAAGGTCTATTCGTTCAAGAGTAGATGGACTAGACAACATGGAGGTTGCTGTACCGTTCGGTGGTGGAAGTTTGGCCTCGCAGCTTTAAGAGGCGGTTGAGAAAGCATTCCGGTCAAGCAGTCCGACAGTCCTCAAATACGCGCCCAGATTACGTTGATCGGGGTCTACCATAGGACCCTCATTATATGATATCATGTTGGGTGCTGAACGAAACGAATTGGGGGCGTGTAGAGTGTTGGAAGCGGTTTCAAATGTCCGGCACAAACCGGGCCAGTGTGAATTATTCTTCAAAGGATATAAACGCCGTTCGTGGGGTAGGAAGTAGAGAATACCGATGTGATGGTGAAAGCACAACATGGTGAAGAATCATGGTGTTCAGAGAAATGAGTGTGGTCAGAAGAGTTGAGTAACGAGGCAAATGCTGGTTAGGCGAGTGTGTGAATACCCGTAGGCAAAAGGGAATACAGGACGGGCCGTTGTTTGTGAGTTCGGTCGTTAAGTAGCCTTATATGGGTGGCTGCTGTCGATTATTCCTTGTATGATTTGACGCTCAGCCCTGATTATCACCAGGTGGTTAGTTGCTAGGATGCATGGGGAAACTAAATGCATTGACAGACGGCGTTTAGGATATATCTTCTTAGGGTATTTCTTCTTAGGGTATTTCTTCTTAGGGTATTTCTTCTTAGGGTATTCATAGACTTTGGGGACCAATGAGGACCTCGGTGGTTGCAGAGGCATGTCACATGAATAGAGGTGGTCGTTAGCTGTGGACGCATGAGATTTACCCTGGAACAACGAAATAAAAGAAATGAAGGTTATCCGTTCGAGAAAACTTCGACGCGTGGGAACTACCGGTGGTCCTCAGGTTGCGAATTGCCTCCTGACTTTTGCTCAACTGTGACTGAGTGAGCCACTGAGGGCCGTGGTAACTGGTAATACTTACTGCACATGGCCATTTTTGACTTTTTTGAGTTCTAGAAGTATGGCTGCCGAGCTACGACTACATATAGAGCCGCTTTGCCTGTTCTCAGTTCTCGCCTCTCTTCACATCACACACAACACCGGCCGGCATGGACAATCTTCGTAGGTACCTTACCTAGGTACCTTTCAGGTTGGGTTGCGTGCAAAAGTTCGAACTGTCTGTCTGTCTGTCAGTGTCGGCTCCTTACAAATTACTTGCAAATTATAAATATGACCGCTACAAGCGAAAAGGGGTACAGCACCACCACACCAATAAGGTAAAGTCTCTGTGGCTTTGAAAGAAAAGAAAAGGATACCCTAGAGGTAAGGTACCTTACTTACTTAGGTAATCAGGACCAGTCGAGTCGAGTCGAGTCAATTCAAGTGAGACTGTCAGACTGTCAGATTGTCAGACACGGAGTTGCTGTCGCTGCTGGTCCTCCATAGACTAGACTACAAAAGTGTTCTGTCTGCTTCTGGGGTTGTTATTATTATTATTAACTAAAGGTACCTCTAAGGGTGTATTAAAAAGGAAGGTTCCTTCCTGTCCGTGAGGTGACGTGGCGGTCTGGCCTGGCAGTTGACAGTTGACAGGGGACAGTTGACGGGCTTCTAAAGACTTGAGATTTGAGAGTTGAGACTTGACTGGCTTGACAGTTTGAGACTTGATAGTTGAGACGGGGTTGGGTTGACAGACAGTCTTCGTATTGATAATTAACGTTTTGATAGACTTCGTCTTGACAGACAGTCTTCGTCTTGACGGTCTTCGTCTTAACAGTCTTTCTCTTGCCAGTTTTCATCTCAACAGCTTTTGTCTTGACAGGCAGGCTTCATTCATCGACTTTGCGTGAATCGGAAACCTTTTGGAATAACTAATTACTCAATGTGATTGCATGGTTCGCGTGATTCGCGTCCTCCGCTCGAAGCCTCGAACTCAAACTTGAACTTGAACTCGAATTCGAATGCGTAATCTACAGTGGGTGACCAAAGAAAAAGAAAAAAAAGTACCATTTACCGTTTTCACGCCAAAACTCACACTCTCTAACTGGGCTTCTACCAAATACACCGCGTTATTGCAAAACATCAACCAAAATTATCGTACAGAGATTTTTATATGAAGATATTGCTCAAAGTAATCTGATAAAGTAACCTCAAAAGGGGCCTGAGATACAAAGTACCAAAAGCCTTGTTAAAAAAATGTTGGAACTGTTACCCACTACAATGCGCTATAAGTCCACTATAACCGAATTGACATCTCTGTCGGTTTTACTTTACACCCCATTTTCTCACCCACTTCTAACTCAAAATTATCATCCCTTGATTCATTTGAAGCTCATGACGGTTTCTTGGGGTTTTCCAAGTTGCATCTAATCTGCAAGTGTTTTGACTGAGAAACTGAGGAGTGGTTTTCTGAGATCTTGGTGTAATTTGCAGGCAAAAAAAAAACGTTGGGCGTTTTTCTTTTCGACCACCCACTGACCATAGAGCCCAACCCGACACGAGGTGATTGACGGTCCGCAGATCCGGGCCAGGCCAGGTTCTTTCTATTTCTGTTTCTGTTTCCGTATCTGTATTTTCCACCCCACCCGTGACCTCATTTCCAGTGAGGACTTAAAATCTTGAATTTTGAAATCTTGAAATCTTCAAGTGGCTGTTCAAGTTCGTGTCAGTCAGTTGTTGGGACTTGGGACTTGGGTAGGTTCCGAGGATGTGGGAGCTGTAGGAGGTATGCATGAACATGTCGATGCAGATATCTGTAGGTGAAGGTAGGTATGTGACGCAATACGATGTACGCCAGCGGAAAGAAAGCCACCAAAAAAAAAA